ACAGTAAGTTCTCAAAAAATGTTTAAAGGATGAATAAAGTATAGCAGATGTTGTATAGCTCTTAGATCCAAGATTAAAGGTGGAACTTCATCAAACAGATCATTATTTTATGACATTTTCATCTACAACATCATCTGGATTAAGAATGCAGTTTGGGGTTCTATGAAACTTAATCCTCCTAACTCCTCTTGCTTCTGAATAGTCTACTTTCTGAAGCATATGAAAGAACAAATTAACCTTAGTAGAGAAGGCTTTGAAAAAAATCTAAAACTAAAAAGTTTCAGAAGCCCATAAAAATAATAGTAAAAATAAAGTATTAGAAGAAGCTAGCTGTTGGCCATTAATGCTGAGAAAAAGTAACAAAAACATATCAAGTTTTATGGGGTAAGACCTATTAACAAGGCATTAAATTCTTTTCATCTGTTCCTTCAAGGGAAAAAGTGGGTGATTCATTTGATTAACATCACGAAGGACACTAAGATCTCAAAGTAACTTTCCTTATTACATAGCTGATTTCTTCCAAGTTTTTGCCAAACTTTGGCAAAGAACAAGAGATACCATGTTTTCTAAAGTTCAGCAATTTGCAGAGACATTTGTAGCAAAATTTAAAAACTTAAAATAAATGTAAATGAGTAAGTGTTTAAATATTGCCTGGCTATACTATATATAAAGATGAAAAATATCAATAATAATAACTTAATGGGCAAAAAAAGTTTCAAATGAAACATTTTATGTTCCTAAACTAATAAAGTGATTATGAAACCATTAAAAAAGACTATTTATATTTTAATTTTCCTAATGTTTTCATATTATCTTTTATTCTCTCCAAAAGGCAAATATTTTATTTCCATGGCTTGACTATTTACTATGTTAAATTATGACAGACTTTCATTTCTGACTTGCTATAGTGTTTGATTATGTGATAGAAATCCAGCTTTAACAAAATAAAATTTTTTTCTAAATATCTGAGAGGGCAATTAGGTATATATTACATTATTATATATAATAAATGTGCTGTCCTCGTTAAATCACACTCATTTAAAATACAGGTAAAAAAATACTAGTTAGTTTTCTAACAAGTAACATTTAGAATGTAGCTATTATTCTTTTTATTTATTTATTTTTTATCTTTATTATTGAATGTAGAATGTATTACAGATGTTCCACATTTTCCCCCCATTGACCCCCTCCTCCTCCTCACTCCGCCCCCCTCCCGCCTTTCCCCACACTATTGTCTGTGTCCATTGGTTATGCATATAAGTTCTTTGGTTTATTTCTTCCCACCCCCCCAACCCCTTTCCCTTTGAGGTTTGTCAGTCTAGCAATGAATTTGTACTTCTTAATCCCTTCACCTTTTTCATCCATTCCCCCAAACCCCCTCCCATCTGGCAACCAATAAAATGTTCTCTGTATCTATGAGAATGTTTCTGTTCTACCTGTTCATTTTGTTTGTAGATTCCATTGTCGATAGATATGTATTCATTGCCATTTTGTTTGTTCATATATTTTATCTTTTTCTTCAAAAAGACCCTTCATCATTTCATATAATAACAGTTCGGTGGTGATGAACTCCTTTAACTTTATCTTGTCTGGGAAAGTCTTTATATGGCCATCGATTCTAAATGACAGCTTTGCAGGATAAAGTAATTTTGGTTGTAGGTTCTTGCTTTTCATCACTCTGAATATTTCTTAACACTCCCTTCTGGCCTGCAAAGTTTCTTTTCAGAAATCAGCTGACAGCCTTATGGGAACTCCCTTGTAGGTAACTAGCTGCCTTTCTCTTGCTGCTTTTAAGATTCTCTCTTTGTCTGGAACCTTTTGTATTTTGATGATGTGTCTTGGTGTGGGCCTCTTGGGGTTCATCTTGTTTGGGACTCTGTGCTTCCTGGACTTGTATGTCTGTTTCCTTCACCAAGTTAGGGAAGTTTTCTGCCATTATTGTTTCAAACAGGTTTTCAATTTCTTGTTCTCTCTCTTCTCCTTCTGGCACCCCCAAGATGCGAATGTTGGCACGCTTGAAGTTGTCCCAGAGGCTCCTTACACTATCCTCATTTTTTTGGATTTCTTTTTCTTTTTGCTGTTCTGATTGGGTGTTTTTTGCTTCCTTATATTACAAATCAATGGTTTGCTTCTTGGATTTACGTACTCTACTATTGAATCTTTGTAAATTATTCCTTATTTCAGTTAAAGCCTCCTTCATTTCTAACTGTGCATCGATCATTTCTGACTGGTCCTTTTTTATGCTCTTGAGGCCCTCACCAAGTTCATTGAGCATCCTTATAAACAGTATTTTGAACTCAGCATCTGTTAGGTTGCTTATCTCCATTTCGCTTAGTTCTTTTCTTGGGTTTATGTTCTGTTCTTTCATTTGGGACCTGTTTCTTTGTCTCCTCATTTTGGCTGCCTCCCTTTGTTTGTTTCAGTGTATTACTTAACGAGCGGTATGGGGCTAGCTGAGACCAGATGCTGCTCATTTGAAAAAATTTTGGAAAAACCTGAAGCAGGATCCAAGACAGGCCAATCTTTTTTTTTTTTTTTTTTTTTATTTTTATGAATTTTTATTTATTTTTTTGTTACAGATATTTTACCTTTTTACCCCATTGGCACCCCCCACCCCACCCCCTCCACCCTGTCCCCGGCTTAGTTGTCCATGTCCATTGGTCATGCATACATGCATATAAGTTCTGTGGTTTATCTCTTCCCACCCCCTACCCCCCATCCCCTCTTCTGAGGGATGTCAGTCTGTGCCCTACTTCCATGTGTCTGGGTCTACTGTATTCCTCAGACTGTTATGTTCATTATATTCCGTATATAAGTGAGATCATGTGGTATTTGTCTTTTTCTGCTTGGCTTCTTTCACTTAGGATAATACTTTCCAGGTCCCTCCATGTCGTCTCAAAGGATAAGAGATCTTTCTTTCTTACCGCTGCATAGTACTCCATTGTGTATATGTACCACAGCTTTTTGATCCATTCGTCTACTGGTGGACACTTGGGCTGTTTCCAGATCTTAGCTATTGTAAATAGTGCTGCTATGAACATGGGGGTACATATATTCTTCCTGATTGGTGTTTCAGGCTTCTTAGGGTATATTCCCAGCAGTGGGATCACTGGGTCAAATGGAAGTTCAATTTTTAATTTTTTGAGGTAGCACCATATTGTTTTCCATAGCGGCTGCACCAGTCTGCATTCCCACCAGCAGTGTATTAGAGTTCCCTTTTCTCCACACCCTCGCCAACACTTGTTGTTTGATGATTTGTTGATGGCGGCCATTCTGACAGGTGTGAGGTGATACCTCATTGTTGTTTTAATTTGCATCTCTCGGATGATTAGTGATGTTGAGCATTTCTTCATATGTCTCTTGGCCATTTGTATGTCCTGTTTGGAGATGTGTCTATTCAGCTCCTCTGCCCATTTTTTAATTGGGTTCTTTGTCTTCCTTTTGTGGAGTTGTGTGAGCTCTCTGTATATATTGGAAATTAACCCCTTATCTGATACATCATTGGCAATGATGTTCTCCCATACAGTGGGTTGCCTTTCCATTTTGATGATCGTTTCTTTTGCTGTGCAGAAGCTTTTTAGTTTGATGTAGTCCCATGTGTTCATTTTCTCCTTTATTTCTGTTGCCTTAGGTGATGTATCAGTGAAAATTCTGCTCCGTATGATGTCCGAAATTTTGTTGCCTACATTTTCTTCTAGAATTTTTATGGATTCACGGGTCACATTTAAGTCTTTTATCCATTTTGAGTTTATTTTTGTGTATGGTGTAAGTTGATGGTCGAGTTTCATTTTTTTGCATGTAGCTGTCCAATTTTCCCAACACCATTTATTAAAGAGGCTGTCTTTACTCCACTGTATGCTCTTGCCACCTTTGTCAAATATTAATTGAGCGTATTGCCTTGGGTCCATTTCTGGGTTTTCAGTTCTGTTCCACTGGTCTATATGCCTGTTCTTGTGCCAGTACCAGGCTGTTTTGGTCAAGACAGGCCAATCTTATGGTTAAGCAAGTGCCAACAGCTTGGGTGGGTCTGAAAGTTGGATGGGGCGGGGCCTCAGGGAGTCAGCAGGGCGGGGCTACCAGTGTGAGCCAGGTTGCTGGAGTCCCAGATATGGCGGCTGTCTGCCGCCCCAGAGAAGGGCTCACCAAAGGGACAAAGGCCTCTGACAGCACATTTGTCCCGGAGAAAGCCCCCTCTCCAGCGCCAAACAGCTCAGTTCTTCCCTGTATGTCTCTGGTGCCCCTCGAGCTGCCTCCCCTCCAAGCTTAGAGGGAGAGAGTCTGATAAGTCCGTGCGCGGGCCCTTGAAGGAGCTGCCTGGGGCTCCGGCCGTTTCGGCTTCTCTGAGCCTCAGTTCCTGCTGGTTTTTCCAGCCAGAAGTTATGGTGACTTCTCTTCCTGGCACTGGAACCCTGAGCGGGGCGCCTGGTGGGACGGGGACCCCTCAGTCCTCAGGAAGAACCTTCCCAGCCAAGGTATCCTCCTGATTTTTATCCACCACTCGTGGGTGTGGGACCAGCCCATCTCACTGCCGAGTCGCCCCTCCTACTAGTCTCGATGCAGCTGCTTTAATTCCGTAGTTGTAGGACTTCCATTCAGCTTGATTTCAGGCGGTTTTGAATGATGGTTGTTCTGAAGTTTAGTTGTAACTTGGATGTGGTTGTGGGAGGAAGCCATACCGTGTTTACCTACGCCGCCATCTTGACTGGAAATCTATTATTCTTTTAATAAATAACATATTTTACTTTCTATTAATTAAGAAAAAAACAACCTTAAGACTTAGTTGATAATCATTACTCCAGAACAAACCAATACTTTGTACATTTGTTTCATTTGCCTGCTCCACTTTGCCGACAGCATGCACAATAAAAAATATCGATTAAAAATTGGTATCATGGGCTTTTGGTAGAGAAGGCAGTGTAGTTTAAAAAAAGAAAAAAAGGTATCTTAATTCGGTAGGAAAAAAAATTCAAAATTATTTTAAAAATATGCAAAGTCCATACCTGATTTTTTAATGATGAAAGAATGTATTCCTTTTCCTGGTGAGAGATTGTCTTGTGAGTTTCTGGTGTCTCACTAACTAACCAGATCCATAAAACAAACCAAATAATTCCAACTATACCTTAAAATAGAAAAATAATAGTTAAATAAAATTAGAATGCACCAACAGTCACTTTTACATGTCTTGAAAAAATTATGTAACTATAAACTCAATGTAAAATTAATTTCAGTTTAGTTTTCAAGTTTTTCTCATAATTATTTAATGGAATAATAGCTATCTGTATTATTTCCTATACATTTTGAAGAGAACAACTTTTGAGCGTATGACTCTGCCTATCAGAGTATATTAGACAAATCTTTTATTTTTATTTCTTTATTTGCAAAAGTTTATTTAGAAAGTCAGAGGTAGAAGAAATAAGCTGTGGAAGAAGTGAGCCAGCTGGGATTTGAGGGCTCAGGAAACAAGTTACAGAGGCAAAAGAAGGACACTTGAATTTAGGGGAAAGACAGAGAAAACGCACCTGGGGAAAGGAGAGGGGAAAAGGCATGGGTGTGCTCCAGAGAGAAGAACGGGCTGACAAATGTTTTAAAATATAAATTTCCACAAGCTATTATTTCCACAGGTATCTGTTATTGTTTATTGATTTGTTTTTTTGTTTTGCAGATAGATTTCCTGCATAAAGTGTCTTTGTGGCAATCTAACTGATTAAAACCATGTATCACTATGCTAATGAGACTGAGAAAGGCCCTGAGACAAAATTAAAACTACTGCAAGTATCCTACTTTGCTTGAGAAGAAATTTTTCAAAATATACATTTCTATAATATCCAACATAGTAATTTTTGATAGTAAGTATAGCATTTAAGCCTGGGATTCAACAGCAGTTTCTATTGAGAAATACTCTGAAACTAATATCAGGTCAAAACTTGGCTAGGCCCAGCTGGTATGGCTCAAAGGACTGAGAGTCGTCCATGGACTGAGAGGTCCCTGTTTGATTCTGGTCAGGACACATGCCCAGGTTGTGGGCTCAATCCCCAGTAGGGGGCGTGCAGGAGGCAGCTGATCGGTGTTGCTCTTACATAGATGTTTCTATCTCTCTCTCCCTTCCTCTCTCTTCAAAAAAAAAATCAATAAAAACATAATTAAAAAAAACAACAACTCAGCCAGATTATTTTAACCATATCAACTTATAATAGGTTATCAGTGTTTTAGAGCTTTGTGGTGTAGGAGACGATTACTTCAGTGAGTTGGAATATATATTTTTAATCAATTATGAAACCACTATTACATTTTAGATTTGTTACATTATAATTTAGGTTAAAATTTTCAATCAACTTACCAAAAAGGTAGAAGACATAAGTCCAATTCATATAGAAGCAAATTATTCCAGAAAGAGGAAGAGAAATTACTGTCCCAAGCTGTGCTCCTAGAACAACAAAGACTTTGTAAGCTTTAAGAAGATGGGTAACAGATCATGGAAAAAACAAAGATTCAGATCCTACAAGAGCTGAAATTAGTCACATGTAAATACCCATTTTCTTAAGGAATCATTTTCTAGAAAACTCACAATATGTAAAATGTATACGTTAATATGTGGTTCCATTAGTTACAACTATTGATGAGCTAGAAGTCATCAATCAATATAAGACCTATTATAATATGAGCTAGTAAATGCCATGTGTGTTAGGAATCCAGGTATCTGGGGTTCAAATTTGATTCCCAGTTAGGGTGCATATGGGAGGCAACCAATCGATGTTCCCCTCTCTCTAGAAAATCAATAAAAACATGCCCTCAGGTGAGAATTAAAAACAAAACAAAAAAACCTCTGGTGTTTCCCCATTGTATTTTGGGAAAAAACATATTCATTCTTTCCTGTTGTCTGTAAGGGCTGATATTATCTGGCTCTTGTCTATTTCTCTAAGCTCTTATGCCATACCCCTTTTATTCATTATGTTCTAGTCACCCACAGTGGTTTTTCATTTTTTTAAATCCTTATGTATTTCCTGTCTGAGAGCCTTTGCACACGCTGTTCTAATTGGCTGGAATGTTCTTCCATCTGCTCTTTGCATGAATAGTTCATTCTTATCCTTTAGATTTTAGCTTGTAAGTCATCACAGCGAGGCCTTTCTCAACCACTGTATTTAAAAGCAGTCAGGTCAAAAGTTTTAATTCAGTTAATGGAAGAAAGGTTAAAGTTCTTGTGTAATCTGGTAAAATTATGATTCACATATAAAGCTCATGTTCTCACTTACAGGTCAAAATGATGACAAATAAATGTGTAGAAAAAGATATATGAAGAGAGGTTGAGCCCTGGCCGGTTTGGTTCAGCGGTTAGAGCGTTGGCCTGCGGTCCTGAGAGACCCGGGTTCGGTCCCCGCTGGGGGCGCATACCTCAGTTGCAGTTTGTCCCCGGTCCTGGTCGGTTGTGCGGGTGGCAGCCACTCGATGTGTTCCTTTCACATCGATGTTTCTCTCTCTCTCTCTGTTCCTCTCTCTCCCTCCCACTCTACCTGAACAAAAAAAATGGAAAAATGTCCTCGGGTGAGGATAAAAAAAAAAAAAAAAAGAGAGGTTGAGAGTCATGATATGTGTATTAGACAATAATATTAGAAATCACAATTTAATGATAAGTGTTCAATTTTCAGCCACTGGGACTTTTTAAAAAAACAGCATTCTCTATACCAACATCTGAAAAGTCAACATTTTTTGAAATAAATGATGGCAGATGAAGAAAATGACATTGTTAATTAAGCCACATTGCTATATACAGTTGAGCCAGAGAAAACAAATTAATAATAAAGATATACCCCTAAAACTTAATTTTCCCCCAAAGGAGGCATCTGACATTGCATGATTCTGGTGTGCAGCCACTTTTTCTCCAAGGTTGATATGTAAATAACAAATTATAGCAAAAGTTTTCATAAGAATAGTTATCTCACCTGCGTATGAAATGCTAAGAAGTTTGCTTCTTTCAAGAGGGGGAGCCCAAGCAGACCACATGGCATGCATGGCTGGAAATGTAACACCCTGAGGAGGGGAAAAGGAAGTTTCTGATGAAATATAAGTTCGTTTTGTTAATGTTTTAAATTCAGTTGAATTTTGTTGCAAGAGAAATTTCTGAGTAAGAATCAAACCAGAATAAGGTTCTATGAAGTGAGATGTCTTTACAGTGTTAAGTGAAAATACCTTACAATGAAGTACTTTCTTTCTTTCCTTTTTTAATCCTCACCCAAGGATATTTTTGGATTCATCTTCAGATAGAGGGGGAGGGAGAGAGGGAGGAAGAGAGAAAGAGAAACATTGACGTGAGAAAGACACATCAATTGGTTGCCACCTGCACAACCCCAACCGGGGATGGGGATGAACCACACCGAGATACGTGCCCTTAGCAGGAATTGAACCTGGGACTCCCCGGTCCACGGGCCAACACTCTAACCGCTGAGCCAAACTGGCCAAGGCATAATGAAGTAGTTTCAAAATGTGAACAAAACCCTGGCCGGTTTGGCTCAGTGGTTAGAGTGTTGGCCCTTGGACCAAAGAGTCACACGTTTGATTGTGGTCAAGGGCAAGCAACTCGGTTGGGGTTTGGTCATCGGCCCTGGTTGGGGTCATGCAGGAGGCAACCAGTTGATGTGTCTCTCTCACACTGATGTTTCTCTCTCTCTCTTTCTCTCCCTCCCACTCTATCTGAAGATAAATGGGGGAAAAAAATGTGAACAAAATGTGTGGATTCTGTGAACAAAGAATATTTACTGTAATCCTTACAATAAATCTAAAAGAATGTACTGAAAGATGACATAAAGGATCCCTCTCAAAGTTAATTTTACTCACTCACTTTATTAATGGCCTGAATGAAATGGAAATGTTACCAATACATAACTTTTAAAAATACGGAGTTAATACTTTGGGATACTGTAAGAAATTGAAATTGATCTTAATGGATAGAATAAATGGTTTGGGGAAAAAAATGAATTCGATTAGAGAGTGTTTATAGTTTTTTTTTTCTTTCTGGGGATAACTAGCCTAGTAAATGCCAATTATGCTATGGAGAGGCAATGGAGCAGTGGAGGCAGGAGGCTCACAGATTCTTGGGACAGGAGGAAATGCTACAGAAATATGGCACCAAAAAGGTTTTAGTAGATTCAAACCAATGGATTCACAGCTTTCCTTGGTCACACACTTACTGTGTAGTCTCGGTTAATCTTAAACTTCAGTTTCGTTGTGTGTGAAACAGAGATAACACACCGCAGTTTGCATGATTGTTGTAAAAATAAATAGATAGTGCTATTATTAATGGAGAGGAGAATACATGCTTTAACACTTTGTACTTTTTGCTTTTCTTTCAAAAAGAAAAAAAGAAAGAAATACCAGGAGAAGCAAAAATGATTTAGACAGCATTACAAATCGGTAAGAATCTGCATCATGGAGCAACAGGAGAAGTCATTACAGAATAAATCTTTAGATGTTTGGAAATGTCCACAGAGATTATATTGTAGAAAACTTTATTATAAAACCCTAGGGATACCCTGGCCAGTTTGGCTCAGCAGTTAGAGCGTTGGCCTGTGGTTCAGAGAGACCCAGGTTCGGTTCCCGCTAAGGGCATGTATCTCGGTTGCAGTTTGTCCCCAGCACTGGTTGGGTCGTGCGGGTGGCAGCCACTTGATGTGTCCCTTTCATATTGATGTTTCTCTCTCTCTCCCTCTCTCTCTCTCCCACTCTATCTGAACAAAAAATGAAAAATGTCCTCGGGTGAGGATAAAAAAACACACAAAAAACCCTAGGGACCATGTAGGTATATTTATGGTGAATCAGATGCTATGGGTGAAAGATGCTGACCTAAGTTTCTGGATGAGGTAGTGCACAAGTGATACATATTGCAGAAATAAAGAAAGACAAAAGAACATCAGAATAAACACAACTTAAATTCTATTCAGAAATAAATCACTTGAGATAGCAGTAGTAATACAATCAATATACTATAATGGAAAATTAGTGGCATAAATAGACAGTATGCTGCAATGTGGAAATACATGCAACAAAGAGACTCGATATTTGGAATGGAGAAAATATACTATAATTAAGTATAATTTACTTAGGTAAGGCGAAGAGAAACCTGGTAATACAGGGTTAATTTTTATGTTATAGTCAAGAGGATTTTATTCAGTATACCTCTATCTGATAAGGACAAAATAAGTGTTTAGATGAGTGAGCAAAGCTTAAATAGTAGTTGGCAATTTCCAAAGTATTCTAGCAATCATTATCCAATTTGAGCTGTGAATAAATATGGGGCAGGTATTTTAGTCCCAATTTTTAAAAATAATGGAACTGAGGCCTAGAGATTAGGACTTATCTGAGGTTTTCATAGTGAAGCTATTAATCAAACTCTGCTTTTATAATTCCAGTTAGTGGTTTTCCAACATAGCAGAATACATTACTACCTAAAATAACCTTCATGCTCTACACCAAACCCAGAGGCCACTATTTGGCTTGGGTTAAAGAAATGTTAAGAGCCCGACTGGTATTGCTCAGTGGTTGAGTGTCAACCTGTGCACCAGGAGGTCGCTGGTTTGATTCCCAGTCAGGGCATATGCCCAGGTTGTGCGTTCGATCCCCAGTGAAGGGCATGCAGGAAGTGGCCAATCGATGTTCTCTCTCATTGATGTTTCCATCTCTCTCCCTCTCTCTTCCTCTCTCTCTAAAATCAATAAAGAAAAAAAATTATTTAAAAAAATGTTAAGAGAGAGCAAACTAAATCTATGCCTTGGTTTCATGGGTAGAAGTTCAAAGTTAGAAACAAAGAGACCATTTCTTAAAGATGGTGATACATATGATGAAATGCAAAGGAGAAGTAGAAAGGAGAAAAATACAATTTTAAAAAATGATAAAAGCCCTGGCTGGTTTGCTCAGTGGTTAGAGCGTCAGCCCATGGACCAGAGTCCTGGGTTCAGTTCCTGCTATGGGCACATACCTTAGTTGCAGTTTGTCCCTGGCCCCAGTTGGGGTTGTGTGAGTGGCAACCACTTGATGTGTCTCTCTCTCACATTAATGTTTCTCTCTCTCTTTCTCCAGCTCTATCTGAGGATAGATGCAAAAATGTCCTCAGGTGAGGATAAAAAAAAAAAAAAGATAAAAGTCTTAGGAGGGGATGGAAAAAAGACATAAAAATTAATAATAACAATTCTAAAAGCAACAGAAAGACCAGAAGAATCATAGAACCAAAGAAAGTTATACAAAATGATAAATACTTTGTCTCTCAATTAGGGGACCAGAAGAAAGAACAAATAATAAAGAAGAAGTTCTTTGCATAGAAAAAAAATTTTAAAGTAAAAAAAAAAAAAGTTAATCCAATAATCTATTGTGTAAAATGTGTTTTAGATCGGTGTAATCAATGACACAGCAGAGATAAAAACTATGGCAGGAGCTGAAGAGGTCTATCTTAATGGTTCTAATATCTTATCTCCTAAAGTGAGAGAGAGCAGGGAGAGCTGTGAAAGGTCCCCTGGAAAACGTTTTCTCTCCTCTTTGAGTAAAGCTTTGAATTTCAGGTGCTCCCACTAGAGACTTTATTAACAACAAAGAAAATCTATTCAGGTTATTTTCTAGTTAATAATTTTTTTAGTTAAAAAATAAATCGCTATTATTTTCTGATATCAATTTTTGGTTCATATTCATACTGAAGAATGATATTTTTAAAAAGACAAGAAAGTGATATAAGGTAAGAAGAAAAACAGAAGAGAGAAAAATTACCTCTCCTAGTCCTTCTAGTGCTCTGAGCATAATGAGAGCTCCAACTCCTAAATCTGCAGCAATGGGAGTAAACAGGGTGAAGACAGCAGTGCCAAGGATCCCAAATCCTAGCAGCAGTTTCCCCCCCACTTTGCTGGCAACATATCCTCCAGGAATCTGTGTGATGATGTAGCCATAAAAAAAAGAACCGAGAATCCATCCTTGAGTTTCTGCATCCCATTGGTACCTTTTACCCTATAAAGAGTAGAAGGGGAAAAAAGACAACCTTTTAAGACCTTCATTAATAAACAGCTCCTTTACCTTTCTGGCATATAAGTACATAAAAATGTAATTCTTAACCACTGTTTTAGACCGAAGAACACATAAACTTTCTACAAGGTAGGTGAGTCAACATGATAGAAATATGCAGTTTCTAGAAACAAATGGAAAATAATTAAAAGTAAAAAACCTCAAGAAGGCTTGCTATTTTATGAAACTAGATTACAGGATGAGTTGCCTTGTAATGATCATGACCAAGAAGGCGGAATAAAGGGCATAGGCTTAATCTAGAAAGTTACTAAATAAGTTACTATAATGGCTGAACCAGGCTTTGAAGCAGGCTCGGGTTCCAGGCTAGCTCTATTACTTACTGGATTTCTATTTTGGGAAGAGTAAATGAAAAAGGCACATAAAATGCAGCCTGACACATACTAAGTGTTCACTTAATGTTGGCTATTAGTATACATAAGTATAGATCATTAATATCTCCCCATTTCAGACCAAGCACTTGAATAAGCATATAGTACAATACAAAGAGCAAGAATTTAAACCAAGCCACAAATTTCATGTTAATAGAAAATGTCTTTTAATTAGTAGCAACACATAATAAGGCAATGATGAAGATTTAGTAACTGATCTAAACATCTAACATATATTTTTTTGTTTGTTAATTCTCACCCGAGGATATTTTGTCCATTGATTTTTTGAGAGAGAGTGTAAGGGAGGACAGGGGGAGGGAGAGAAAAAGAGAGAGAAACATTAGTGTGAGAGAGACACATCAATTATTTGCCTCCCAAATGTGACCCGACTGGGGCTGGGGATCAAACCTACAACCCATGTATATGCCCTTGACTGGGAATTGAACTAGAGATCCTACAGTGAGAGGGCTGGTGCTCTAACCACTGAACCACACCAACCAGGACAAATATCTGACACCTTTCATACATGTAGCTAATGTATCAATAACCATGCCAGGATTTCTTTCTGGTAAGGCAGATGAAGGTGAGTAGCTAGATTAACAAAAGCAATTGCCAAAGGGAAAGATACAAAACAAATCCCTAATTACCCTTGTTTATGGTATCAATTTGTGACTTATCTGTACAATGCTAGGACTTTAGTTATCCAGTTATACATCATAGATTGGCATGGTGAAAGTGGGTGGTATGTATGTACTCAAATATGTATTTGGCAACATTATTCAAGTCAAATGTAAAGATTTTTTGTACATGTGCTTGTTTGGGCAGAAAAAACTCTTCCCTGATTAGATGCTCTTGTTTTAAATGGCAGAGGAGACTCACCCAAGTGTGATCTGGCTCCTTTGTGAGCACTGAATATGGATGAAAATATACTCATAAAAAAGGACACCAGGCTTTTCTCCCTGTACTGTCTCCCTGTGTGATAAGCAAAATAAAATATAGTCACGTGCCACATAATGACATTTCAGTCAATAATGGATCACATATAGTAAAGTGGTCCCATAAGATTATAATGGAGCTGAAAAATCCCTATTGCCCAGTGACATTGTAGTGCAACACATTATACAAATACTTCACATTGTGTTACAATTGCCTACAGTATTTAGTACCATAACATGCTGTATAGGTTTATAGCATATGAGATGCAGGGGAACAGAATTTGTCATTCCAAAATATGTCTATTTGGCCTAAGGATTATTTTAGGCTGGTTAATTTTATTTATTCATTTTTTCATTTATTTATTCATTTATTTATATATCTATTTATTTATCCTCACCTGAGGATATTTTTCCATTGATTTTTTTGATAGAGTGGAAGGGAAAGAGGGAGAGAGAGATTGAAAGAGAGAAACATAAATGTGAGTGAGACACATTGATTGGTTGCCTCCCCCACAACCCCCCCCGACCAGGCTGGGGATCGAACCTGCAACCCAGGTACATGCCCTTGACCAGGAATCGAACCCAAGACCCAGTGGCCCTTGGGCTGACGCTCTAACCACTGACCCAAACCAGACAGAGCTGCTTACTTTTATTTTAAACTGCAGATATGGGAGAAGCTCTGAAAACCAAGTAGAGGTTACCCTGTGAAGAGATTAGCCAAACAACATATATATGCATAGCCCATGGACATAGACAACAGTGTAGTTAAAGCTGGGATGGTGATGGGTCAAGGTGGGAACTGAGGGGCATCTATAATAGTGTCAACAATAAAAATAAAATAAAAGACATTTAGATTTGTAAGGGACATCTCCATTTGTAAGGGTATTCTCCTCTATATACCTGGAAGGTGGGGATGACTTCATCTCTAAAATCTCTAATCGGTGAAGAACATGACTTAAATTTCCATAACAAACTTACCCTTGTGTATTGGGCTTTTCCTTTTAGACTGACAAACAAGCAAACTTTCTACAAGGTAGGTGAGCCACCATGGTACAGATACTCAATTTCTAGAAGTTAATGGAAAATAACTGACTCCCCAGGCCCTCAACATCTTTTTTTGTCTGCAGCTGAAGATAGTCTTTAAGATGATGGCTTCAGTCATTTTGGCAAGTTACTCAGTTTCCCTGGGTCTCTCCCATGTATAAAGGAAGTGTACATGCCATTATACTTTTGTTTTTCTCCTGTTAATCTGTGTTTTATTACAGGGATGTCTAGTCAATAACTCATAAGGGTAGAGGGAAAATTATTTCTCCTCCCCTGCACTGAAACAGGCTATATCACATAGCTTAGCAGGTGTACAGCAGGAAATACCATCTAAGTTTGTGTAAGTGCGCCCCATGATGATCACATAATAACAAAATCGCCCAACGATGCGGTTCTGAGAATGAATCCCCGTCGTTAAGTGGCACATGACTGTATTTAAAGCATTTAAAACTCAATTCTGAATAAACGATGAACAAATACTTACTAATTCCACTATAACCTGATGCAGGAAAAATGACTTAAACAACTTAGGTTAAGCATGTATGAATTTTGGAAAAGAATATCCTAAGAAATTGATCTGATTTTTTTTTTTTTTTTTTTGCGGTAGTAAATGAGCTAATTTATTTAGAAACAGCCAGTTCCTTTCCGTCATATCAGTAGACACTCAACATTTGTTCACTTTTCAAACAAGTCATGTAACAACATGGACAATACTTTATATTATGTTTAAGAAGCAAAACACTAACACCAGCTCAGCTCTGCAACGGAGCAAATGGATACATAAAACAGAGGAGGAGGAAAGGAACTAGAATCCCAGCCATTCCACCTCTGCGTGGAGATCAAGTAATGAGTAAGTTTTCTCTTCTTTTCCAAATTGTCTTTTAAGAAGAAAATACTACTTTTATAACAGACACATTTCGTTGTTTTAGTAAAAGGTAGTTCTGAAACCTGAGAGTTCTTGAAAGAGACAGTATGTCTAGAGATGGGCGGTTTTCGGGGCGCGGTTACGGGTGAGCCCTTCTCAGTGCCACCTTCGCCCAGCAGGGGTCTCGCTGCCCCTCCTTGTGGTCGGGGGACACCAACCGTCACCGGAGTATTCCAGAGAAGGCTCAACAGAAGTCACTGTCACTGGCTCCTACTAAAGAGGAAGCAGGGCAGCTAGCGGGCCTCTGCGGATACTGGAGACGTCTTCTGGCCGCCACCTTCCAGCAGGCTCTTCTCAGCAGCAAGCAGTAAGAGCCACTGAACGAGCCGCGGCCCAGGCACTGGCCGGGGACCATCTGGTTGTGGGGGAGCGGCATGACATTTCCTCCTTCTCCTTTCTGAGTAGGCGCTGTTCCAGCCAGCACTGTGTGCCGAGCCCTCCTGGGGACTTGGGGACCTGGTGCCGCGGCAGGACTGCATCTATGGCTCTTTATTCTGGTGGTTGGCGTCGTTATGCTCTCTGCCGTCCTCCATGCTGTGGAATCCTCACCTGGGACCGGCAGCTGGTTCTTCCTGCCCGACACATAACATAATGTCAGGTAGCAGCAAGGACTGCGACGTGGACACCTTCAGGATGCAGGCCAGGACGCTCCACCGACCCTCCTGCCACCGAGCAGTGGGGGCGCCTGAGTCAGGGGCAGTCCGGGCGACAGTCTAGAGGCTGGTACCGCGGCAGGACCGCTCCAGCCCACATTCCTGCAGATCCCTGATCTGATCTTATTTCTCATCCTGCGGTTGAGATGATTTAAGCTCTCCTGCAACAGTAGCCTTATAAATAAAACAGCTATTAAATAACAGTCCCATAAAAACTATTCAGCAATATCTTAAATAATCGTATTTCCTGGTGTGAGGGAAGAAGAATTTTTCTTCTACCCTCCTAGGTTCTTTTGGATGGTCTAATAATTAGATCAACATGAGACAGATTAACAAGAGAAAATAACAAAATTTAATTATGTATGTGTGAGAACCCACATGCATGAGAGAGTCAGAGACCCCACATACACGAGAGGGTCAGAAACAGAAAGGAAAAATGAAGTGTGTGTGTGTGTGTGTATATATATATATAGTTCTGAACTAAGGATAGGATAAGGCACCTAGGAGCTTCAGAGGGGCGGAAGGTCACTGCAGAACAATAAAAACAGCTGATGTTCAGTATTTAAAAGTATTTTGCCCTGGTCATTTCTGGTAATAACTCTTATTATGGGCAAGGCCCCTAATTTAAATTCTTTAAGGGAGCAGTAGAAGTTTCTCATGAGGCTGCAGCTCAAAATAATTCACATGCCAAAGTGGCATATCTTGGGGTGATCTGTTCTGAACCCCTTCAGCCCTGCTTTTTAAACTTCCTGAGAAGTTATACATTCTAGAAGCTGGGTTGATACATTGTTCCATATCTCATTAAAGCAGTCTCAGTCTTGAAAATAGATCAGTTTAGTTAAATTTCAGGAGCCAGTGATGCAGGTGGGTTCCAAAGGTAGGCCATTGGTGCAACCAATCAGATATTTAAGAAACATGGAAACAAAGAAAAACAATAGTTAATGACCGAGCAGACTATAATCCCAGTTTCTGAGTTCTGAAGGAAGGTAGTCAAGAAAATTTCTAGATATCTGGCTCAAATCATTTTCAGATGGAGTGAAAGCAGGCAGTGATAATTTGATAGATTGTCCTGGTTTGAAGTTTGAAAGTCGCTGGTGATCTTTCTGCAATAGGAACTAAGATTGTCCACATGAGCTGTTGTGGTGATTTCTCTGAAGTTTACATCAGGTTGTACAACTTTAGCTTTCATGGCTTTGGGAAAAGGGCAGTTTTAGTTCTCAATGGGAAGGAGGGAGAAAGAGAGAGGAATATCAATGTGAGACACATCCATATAACCCCTACTGGGACCAGGGATTGAACCCAAAACCAAGGTATGTGCCCTTGACCAGGAATCAAACCTGAAAGTCTTTGGTCTGAGGGTTGACACTCTTAACTGCTGAGCCAAACTGGCAAGGGATGAAAGTCTTTGCTTTTAAATGCACTTTTATTTTATTTTATTTATTTTTTATCCTCACCTGAGGACCTTTTTCCATTTCTTGTTCAGATAGAGTGGGAGGGAAGTAGGGAGGGAGAGAGAGGGAGAGAGAGAGAGAGAGAGAAACATTGACGTGAAAGGGACACATCGAGTGGTTGCCACCTGTACGACCCATCCAGGGCCTGGGACAAACTGCAACTGAGGTACATGCCCTTAGGTGGAACCAAACCTGGGTCTCTCTGGGCTGCAGGCCAACTCTGTAACCACTGAGCCAAACCGGCCAGGGCTTAAGTGCACTTTTAAATGATCTAATCTAATTGGAATGTTCTTCACAACTGCCATTGTAATTTTAGGTTTATAATTTCCTTGAGGGCTGGAAGCAGTTTGGTAGGACCCTAGCCGTAAATAGAATTTAGCCCATATTTGTTTGGCCATGTTTTGGAGCTTCCAACCTGATGGTTACCAGGCTGAGTTCTTAGGACACAAAAATTTTAGGTTGTCTTTTAGTAAGATTTTGCCATTTTTTACCTTTTCTTTTTTCCTTAAGTGCAGGATAACTGTACTTCCAGTGTCCTTTTAAAAAAACCAGTATCAGCAATTATCTGAAGCAATTAGGAAGGGGTCTGAGTGGACTTTGATTTTTGTTCTAATTTCTGTCCTTCCATCTTATTAAGGGAAGCTTAATGACCAACAATTATAACAAGATGAGAGCTGTCTAAAATATTTTTTCTCTTTCGTCTCAATTTAGAAGTTTTTCCAATTCAAAGGATCCATCATCTGACGTTGATGAGTAAGATCTTCTTTTTCTTTTTCTTTTAATCCTTACCAGAGGATATTTTTCCATTTATCTTCAGATAGAGTGGGAGGGAGAGAGAGGGAGAGAAAGAGAGAGAGAGAGAGAGACATCGATGTGAGAGGGACACAGCGACTGGCTGCCTCCTGCACGACCCCAACCAGGTTCCGGGGACAAACTGCAACTGGGGTATGTGCCCTTGACCGGAATCAAACCTGTGATTCATTGGCCTATGGGCCAATGCTCTACTGCTGAGCCAAACTGGCCAGGGCAATGAGTAGGATCTTAACAGCAACTCAAACCATTAAGAACTATGGATATAAGAGACATCCCCAAAGAAGAGTGCAAAACCATGCAACCCTCACAAGATAAACTTCACTCCCAGAGTTAGAAAGAGCAATTCCAAAACACAATGAATCATGTGTTCCCCATTCCTTTTATATTTACTTATTTATTTTCATTGATTTTGGAAAGGGAGAAAGAAACATCAATTTGTTGTTCCACTTATTTATGCATTCACTGGTTGATTCTTGTATGTGCCCTGACTGGGGATCAAACCCACAACCTTGGCCTATCAGGGCGATGCTCTAACCAACTGAGCTATCCTGTCAGGGCCAACCCCCACTCCTTTTAATAGAGTATTTAGATTTCCTCTGCTTGGATCCACAGCCTACTCAGCTTCCCACCAGATGCATATGCAACCTCTGAGTGGTGGAAAACAAGGGTGAGGGGCCCCGTTTTTACCATTTCTAGGAGAAAATGGATAGATATAGAAAACTCCCTTGAAAGCATGGCATGGTCATAAAGGCCGAGCTCTCAGGACATATATCAAGATGAAAGAAAGGAAAAATACCAAACAGGGACAGAGAAAAACAGAATTAACAAAATCTATGCACAGTCACATTAAACAAACAAAAGTCACTAAGCCTAAGAAACTAGTTTAAAAAATGTTTTCTCCTGCTAACCTAAATTTAGAAAAGAAAAAAAAGAACTCTGATCACTCTAATTCCACCCAACTCTGCAGGTAGAATTGGACTGGACAAGAATTCTTACTTTTTCTTTTTTGCTGGCTCATGTCAGAGGTCCCAAGAATTTCCTACTGCAGTATGTCAGAGTGAGCAGAAATGGCCTGTGAGATACCCTGCTCACAGTGCTATGTGGGAGGAAGAAATTTTCCTCTACCCTCAAGGTTCTTTTGGCTGGTCTAATAATTAAATCTATATGAAACAAATTAATAAGAGAAAGTAACCAAATTTAATTATATATGTACATATGAAAACCCCACATACATAAGCGGTTCAGAGACAAAAAGTTAAAATGAGGTATATATGGCATTCTGAGCTAAGGATGAGGTGAGGCACCTTTGGGCTTCAGAGGAGAGAGGTCACGGTAGAATGACAAGAACAGATATTTAGTAATTAAAAGTTTACCTTCCCTGACCTGGCCGGTAGCTCAGTTGGTTAGAGTATTGTCCCTAGATATGCCAAGATTGTATGTTCAAATCCCTAGTCAGGAACTCAACTAATGAATGCATAAATAAGTGGAATGAATCAGTGTTTCTCTCTCTCTCTCTCTCTCTCTCTCTCTCTCTCTCTCCATCTCTTTCTAAAGCCAATCAATCAATCAATACAGAAAAAAGAAGTTTGTCCTCCCCTACAAATAGGTCATGAAAAGTTACTTCTGGTGGTAACTCTCGTTATGAACAAGGCCCCTAATTATAAAATTTTAAAATGTTTTTTTTTGCCCTGGCCGGTTTGGCTCAGCGGTTGGAGAATCAGCCTGCGGTACAGAGAGACCCGGGTTCGGTTCCTGCTAAGGGCACGTACGTCGGTTGCAGTTTGTCCCCGGCCCTGGTTGGTCGTGCGGGTGGCAGCCACTCGATGTGTCCCTTCACATCGATGTTTCTCTCTCTCTCTCTCTTCCTCTCTCTCCCTCCTGCTCCAGCTGAACAAAAAATGGAAAAATGTCCTCGGGTGAGGATAAAAAAAAAAAAAAATGTTTTTATTGGTTTTAGAGCAGCGGTTCTCAACCTGTGGGTTGCGACCCCTTTGGGGGTCAAACGACCCTTTCACAAGGGTTGCCTAAGACATAGCAGTAGCAAAATTATAGTTATGAAGTAGCAACGAAAATAATTTTATGGTTGGGGGTCACCACAACATGAGGAACTGTATTAAAGGGGCGTGGCATTAGGAAGGTTGAGAACCACTGTTTTAGAGACAGAGATAAGGAGGGAGTGAAGGAGGGAGGGAGAGGGAAAGGGAGAGAAAGAGAGAAAGATAGATAGATAGATAGATAGATAGAGAGAGAGAGAGAGAGAGAGAGACATTGGCTGCCTTCTGCATGCCCTCTACTAGGAATAGAGCCTGCAACCCAGGCATGTGTCCTGACAAGGAATCAAACCTGAGACCTCTTGGTGCATGGGACAATGCTCAACCAACTGAGCCACATGAGCTAGGGCCCCTAATTTAAATTTTTAAGAAAGAGATAAAAGTTTCTTGTGAGCTCAGAGGGTCACAACTGCCTTCAGCTGAAAATTCACATTACAAAGTGGCACATCTTGGGGAGGCCTGTTCTGAACCCCTTCACTGGTATGCTAAACAGGTTTTTCCAAATTTTCATCAAGGACAATATGTTTATAGAGGAAAGTGACAACTTTTCAAACAGATCAAGGCTTATTACCCATGCCGAACATATTACAGCACAGCAGCAATAGCTAGTTACAAGTTACTGTCCAGTTCCTGGGAAAACACAAAAGAAAGTGATTCAGAGTTTACATGAAGAAGTGTTTTTGGTTTTTCGTAGGATGAAGAAACACCTTTTAATATTTTTACTTGGATATATTTTAAGATTAAGATTTGTTTAAAAAATAGTACTTACTGTTGAAGTACGAAGAACTTTATTGGAAGTAGAATGCTCTGCACACTCTTTAGAAGTTCTGTTATCTGCTAAAGTTGTATTTGAATCAACCATATCCACTAATGCAACACTCAGATTCACACGTAATGCATAGAGAACAAAGAAACCAAAAAAGGCCAAAACTGCTAAGTTGTAACGAGCAGAGCAGCACACTGGAGCTGAAACAAAGAGTGGGGGAAAACTTTCATTAAAAGAATAACTTAGATGATATTGACTAAATTACTGAAGAGGTTACTTTTTCAAAGTGCACAAATTAATAAATCATGAATATTTTTCTGAGAATATTCTCAGATTAAACATATCTAAAAATATTTATCAAAAAGAATTTGCTCCTGGTATCTGTAGTTTTGATAAACTACACTGTTTAACACAGAGCCTGCACTGTATGAGTTTCTTAAAACATGGAGGAAATAGCTTTATCAACTTTGCTCAGAAAAATTTCCATTTCAGAGTCAATACTGAACCACTAATTCCTGTCAGCTGGCAAAAACATGAGAAAAATAGGTAAGAGGGTTTAATGGCATCACTATTCCTAAAAAAACTGTCTAAAACATGCCCAATAAGTACTTGAGTACTCACTACAGCACAGCATGTATGCTACTGACTACAGGTTCGTAGCTATCTCATTGTAAATGTAGCACAGCACAAAAAGTTTACTGCCAAGGCTAGTTCCTGAAATGCCTCTTGATAAATTTCTTACCTTGAAAAGTATCCACAGAGGCTGGGTTTGAATTAGAAGCCATGATTAATATTTAAGGCTCTCCTAAACTAAATGTATTTAGGAATCCAGAAGCAAACTTGCAGAATCTATGACAGTTGCAGGATCTGTGACTGTTGCTCAGTTGACCATGCTTAAAGGGCCACAGTAAAAAGTGACATAAGTGAATGTACCACAATGATGAAAGCAAGAAAGAAGAAAGAAAGAAAGAAAGAAAGAAAGAAAGAAAGAAAGAAAGAAAGAAAGAAAGAAAGAAAGAAAGGGAGGGAGAGAGAGAGAGAAAGAAAGAAAGAGAGAAAGAGAGAAAAGAAGGCAGAGTAGGCTGGAGGAGCCAATGAAAGGAGGATCATGTGAGCAGAGTCTGACCTATTTTTAACTCTAATTATAAGTGTATGAATATATTTTCTCCTTTTACTGAGTTACGCGCGCACGTATATATACCCCCCACCCCCACTCAGGAATCCTGGTGCTTTCACTGACCTAAACTCACACAAGAATACATTTTTCAGAGTACTAACGTTTGGGTACTGATTCAGAGTGACTCAGACGGAAGCATTTATGAATAGGGCATGACTATACTTAGGTATATATTAATATGCTACATTCCAACTTACTTTTCCATAAGGCCTCACACACTTAAACAGCTGCTATAATTTTCCTCTGAGCAAGATTTATATCTTTTAACAGAAAACTTTTCATCTGGCATTCTTGACTCCTTTTTCAGGAGTACAGTTATCAGAATTATGGCCCCACTGCCAGAGTAGGTGCACACACATGAGAACTGCATTTCCAAGGCTCCATTCATGTTGTCTCTGTTATCGAAATCTAGACACATCTGCTCTCTGCTCCAATCAAATGGGCAGTAGTCTAGTTAAGGACAGTCAAAATACTGCAAGGCATGCTTAATAGGAGGGCACATTTTTATTATCATTTTGTGTTAGACAGTAATATACAAAAGTCTGAAAGGGGACTCATAATCTTGACAAATTTGGGCTAACAGAATGTATTACTTTCAATAATTTGGAGCAAGAAAAATTTAGATTTATATACAATCTGCTGTGCCAACACACTATTTACAAAGTTCATTATCTACTTCAGCAGAGGATTGACAAGATGTGATTTATGGTTTAAAGAGAGCTTCTCTGGTTGCTGTGTGGAGATTACAAAGGGGAGAAGTGGGAATTGTGGTAGGAGATGCAGACTCCGGGAGATTACTTAAGGGACTATTGTAGTTTTCCAGGTAAGAGATGAAGGTGTTTTAAACTAGAGCAAAGCAGAGGCAATGGAGAGAAATGGGCAGATTTGAGATAAATTTAAAGGCAGAACTGACAGGCCTTGCCTATGTATCGGATGTGGGAGTAAGTAAAAGGGAGGAATGAAGTTTCAGTTATTCTTACTCTAAATAATTATTTTATGCTATCCTGATTTGATATGTTATTACCCCATTCTGTCCTTATTTGCAATTACCTTATTTTATTGTATGTTACTACTTTCTCCCCACATGTTGCTTGATTTAGACTCTGATATACCTCATCATGTGATTAAGATGTGAGGCTAAAAGCCTGGGAAGTAAATGATTTCAAATTATTAGTGATATTACTTGAAAATATGACCTAGAAATTATGGATCTACCAACTTTAACTTTTTGGGGCGCAGTCAATAATCAGAAAATAAAAAAAGCCATAGATGCCACAAAGTATATGGCTGAGGTTTTAAGAACTATTAAAAATAGATGGTTACTATCTTTATAAAAATTGTTGCTGATTACAAATCAGTCAGAAAAACTTTATTTCAAAGAAGTATGTCAGTAAAGCAAAATGTGCCTGTGAATTTGATAGTGTCTGAAATTGGTCCAACGAAAGCATGCTTGCATGACAAAAAGACATAACATACACTGATCATCTGACACATTGAAATCAAATTCAAAGCAAAATCATGCTTGCATAACGAACAGAGCACCCACGAAAACAAACATCCGCTTCTCAAATAAACTTAGGAAATGTGGAGTAGGTGTAGCTGAAAGAACACAGGCTAATTTAGAGTGAAGCAGGTGGGGGAAAGAACCTCAGTTCTGATTTTCACCGGCTGTATAACTTTGGGGAAGTTACTTTTAATTCTCAGGTTCTAGGCTTTAAAATGAAGCGACCACCATCCAACTCACTGGGGTTTGTGTGGATTAAATAAACTACTATAGAGCACTATAGTAGGCACCCACTAAAAATGAGTTCCTTTCCTGTTGACCCTGGAGAAAATTATACCAATATGATAAAGTGCTACAATATATGTGTGTTATAAGGGACCAATAAATCACATTAATCTGTGCACACGTGTGTGTGTGTGTGTGTGTGTGAGAGAGAGAGAGAGAGAGAGAGAGAGAGAGAGAGAGAGAGAGAGTCAGGGAAGTCCTCTTGGAGAAAGTACATTTGCACTGTCTTCACCAATGAGCAAAAAGACATCAGATAGATTAGAGGAGGTAGAACAATGCAAGCAAAGACAGCAGTATGTACAGAAGTAAGGAAATGAGAAAGGCAAACACAGGGAGAGCAGAAAACGTCAAATAATTTGATGTGGCTGGACTATAGTACTGTAGTAACTGTGAGTGGGATGGTAGGTATTGAGTTTAATAACAAAAAGTAATATAGCCCTGGCCAGTTTGGCTCAGTGGTTGGAGCATCGGCCTGAGGACCAGAGAGTCCGGGTTCAGTTTCCTCTAGGGGCACGTACAAAAAAAAAATAGGTGCTTGGTACTACACTAGTCCAAGTGTGATTGCCTATATAAGGGTTATTATAAAGATCAACTGAGTTGGTACATGTAAAATATTTAATTATTAATTATTATTATTGCTTTTTCTGGATAGTAGAAATTGAGGTCATTTGTTAGGAATTGAGGTTATTTCTCATTTGTGAGAAATTAGATATTGAGAAGAGAAGTAATAACTTGTTGAAAAGAGTAGGGGTGTGAAGTTCCCAGTGAAACATACTCTTAAGAATAGCCAAAGCAATCCTGAGGAAAAAAGAACAAAGCCAGAGATATACTCCCTTACTTCAGATTATACTATAAATAGAAAATAATCAAAACAGCTTGGTATTGGCAGAAAACAAGACATACAGACCAATGGAACAGAACTGAGTGCCCAGAAATAAACTAACATGCACATGGGCAAATAATTTTTGACAAAGGAGCCAAAAACATATAGTGAAGAAAAGAAAACCTCTTCAATAAATAGCACTGGGAAAATTCAAAAGAATGAAACTAGACTGCTATTTGTCACCATACACAAAAATTAACACAAAATGAATCAAATATCTAAATATAAGACCCGAAACAATAAAATACATAGAAGAAAACATAGGTTCTATACTTACAGACCTTGGTCTTAGTATTTTATGAAACTGTTAACAAAATAAAATGGCAACCAACTGAATGAGAAAAAATATTTGCAAAGAACAGCTCTGACAAAGGGTTAATATCCAAAATATATAAAGAACTCATGCAACTCAACAACAAAAAGACAATCAATCTAATTAAAAAATGGGCAGAGGACCTGAACAGACACTTCTCCCAAGAAGACATACTAATGGCCAACAAATATAAGAAAAGATGCTTAATTTCACCAGCTATTAGGGAAATGCAAATCAAAACTACAATGAGACACCACCTCATACCTGTTAGAATGGCTATTATCAACAAGACAAACAAGTGTTGGAGAGGTTGTGGAGAAAAGGGAACCCTCATTCACTGCTGGTGGGAATACATACTGGTACAGCCACTCTGGAAAACAGTTTGGCGATTCCTCAAAAAATTAAGAATAGAGTTACTATGTGACCCAGCAACCCCTCTTCTGGGTACCAGAAAAACTTGAATACATTTATCCACAAAGATATATGTACCCCTATGTTCACTGCAGCATTATTCATGGTGGCCAAGATATGGAAACAACTGAAGTATTCTCTGATAGATGAATGGATAAAGAAGATGTGGTACATGCATACAATGGTATACTACTCAGCCATAAGATGATATATTGCCATTTATGACAACATGGATGGATCTTGAGAATATTATGCTAAGTGAACTAAGTCAGATGGAAAAAGTCAAGAACCATATAATTTCACTTACATGTGAGATACAAAACTGAAAGCAACATATGAATGAACAAGACAAAAACTCATAAACACAGAGACAATAGTATGATGGTTACCAGAGGGAAAGGGGAATGGGGTGGGGGAGGTAGTAAAGGGTAAGGGGGTCAAATATATGGTGATGAAAGACCTGACTTTGGGTGGTAAACACACAATGCAATATAAAGATGATGTATTATAGAATTGTGCACTTGAAACCTATATAAATTGTGTTAACTAATGTTGCCCCAATAAATTTAATAAAAAATTTTTTAAGAAGTGAAAAAAGTAACTAGAATTATCTTGTTCTCGTGTTAGATTGTACATGTAGATATTATTACTAAAGCCAGGACGGGGGTACCTCCAAGAGTGAGAGTAAAAGGAAGCCCCTGGTACCTCTTATAAAGTTGTTATACTCATCTTTACCTTTACCATCCCTTTTCTCCTGGTGTTCCTCTCTTGTCCTCCTGCTCACAGCATCCCGGACACAGAGCTTAATTAAAACTAGTGTTGACTAATGCAATACCCTATAACTGTAGGTGCCTCTTCTCTAAAATATTTACCATATTAAAATTTTTTTTTTTTTTTTTTCGAGCCAGAGGAAGTGAGAGGGAGAGAGAGAAACATCGATGAGAGAGAACATTGACTGGCCACCTCCTGCATGCCCCCCACTGGGGATCAGGCCCACAACCCAGGCATGTGTCCTGACCTGGAATCGAACTGGCGACCTCTTGGTGCATTAGTTGATGCTCAGCCACTGACCCACACTGGACGGACTACCATATTTTAAACAGTCAAAAAGAGTGTTGTGGCTATTTTCACTTCACTTTTGTTCTCCAGTGGGTATGTAAAGAGTAAAAATAAGAAGGGAAACTGTTGGCTTTGGTTGGATAGCTCAGTTGGTTAGAGCATCATCCTGATACACAAAGGTTTCGGGTTCGATCCCTGGTCAGGGCACATACAAGAATCAACCAACGAATGCATAAATAAGTGGAACAACAAATCGATGTTTCTCTCTCTCTCTCAAATCAATCAGTATTTTTTTTTTTTTTTAAATAAGGGAAATTGTAATAATGAAGTCGCCTCAAGTCAGAAGGAACAGGGCTAAAATCTATACATTCGACCCATGAATCAAGTCAGGATTGTTTTTAAAAGCAATGCTATGAGCCTTGGCCGGGTCAGTTGGTTGGAGTGTTGTCCCATATACTACAAGGTTTTGGGTTCAATTTCTGGTGAGGGCACATACCTACATTGCTGGTTCAACCCTGTTTGGGGCACATACAGGAGGCAACCAATTGATGTCTCTCTCTCTCTCTCTTTCAAATCAATAAAAACATATCCTCCAGTGAGGGTTAAAAAAAAGTAAAAAAATAAGTAAAAGCAACTCTGAGTTAGTTTCTTTTTCTACCGACTTTATTGAAGTATAGTTTATATAAAATAAAATACACCCATTTCAAGCCAGAGTTTGGTGAATTTTGGTTAATGTGTATTTCTGTGCACCCCAATCAAGATGTAGAACTTTTCTATCACCCCAAGAAAGTACTCTTGTGACCCTCTGTCATCAGTTCTTTCCTGCCTGTAGCCTCAGGCAACTACTGATCTGCTTTCTGTTATTACAGATTAGTTTTGCTTGTTCTAGACCTTCATGCTGATGGAATCATATGTTAATATGGTGGGTTCTTTTTCTCAGTGTTTTTGAGATTTTTCCAGATTGTTGTGTGTGACAAGAGAAAAATTCTGAGATGCCCTACATTAAATTACACTAGGCCAGAGGAGACAAGTCAATAGAATTGAGGGCAAGAAATCAACAAAAGACTATACATATTCCTAAATGTATGTTGAAACTATAAATCAACTTCCAGGTGGCTATTTCATCTCTTATCTAAAAAGACAGTCCACTATCAGAGAACCTGGCATCCTGTTTATGCATAAACTTTCTAAACTATATTATGGACTATACACCTATCCGCAAACTAGCCTTGCTTTACACCCCGCTCCCCTTCCCTTTTATCTATAGCCAATGTAAATTCTTTCAAAACAACTTACATCTTTCTCCCCCAAACTCACTACATAAAAGAGCTGTCAATGCTAGGATGGCAGACATGTCTGTCCTTTCCATCTAGTCCTGTTGCTGATGGTTTAGACTGTATGTCCTAGGACCTGGTCCTTTTCCTGACTAGCATATTGCTCAATAAACCTTTTCTTTCAGAAAAACTTTCAGCCTGGAAGGTTATTGTTTAACATGTGTATCAGTAGTTTCTTTTTATTACTGAGTAGTATTCCATTGTATGGACATACCACAATTTGTTTAACCATTCATCTGTTGATAGATATCTGGGTTGTTGCCAGTTTTTTATTATTATAAATGCAGCTGCTATGTTATGGTAATGTACATTTAACTTTCACAGTTTCCAAAGTAGTTCTACCATTTTATACTCTTACCAGCAAAATGAGAGTTCTAGGTATTCCATATCTTTGTCAACCTTTGCTATCTTCAGCCTCTTACATTTTAGCCATTCTAGTGGGTGTGTAACGACTCATTGTGGTTTTAATCTGCATTTTCTTGACAACTAATGATGTTTAATATTTGAGCTAAAATTACACACACACACACACACACACACACATCTCCCCCCAAATTGTAACAGACTTTAGTAATCTCTAAGGAATCTCTTTATTATGGCATTTGTTTCTATATTTCCATACTAGATTATTTTACAGAAGAAAACTATTGAAATCTAACACTATATGCTACAGAAAAGATCAGTTTATGGAACTAAGTCCAACTCCCAGATAAAACATCACAGTGGTACAGTATTTACATGAGCGTCCAGCAAAACAAGCTCCCAGCAGCTAGATGGAGCTAGAATGTTGCCACCTCTACTACTGCCATCTGGTAATGTTAAATTAAAAACAAAACAAAACAAAACAAAAACCAGGGGCCTATACGGTTCTTGGTCCGGAAAAGTCAAATTTCTAATTCAACTCTTTCTTATGCCACATCTTTGCAACTATAGAATGCAAGCAAATTGTTTTGTTCTTTAGTTTTAATTACTTTTAAGGAAGTTATATTACAAAAATATCAAATAGCAAAATACTTTAATTTCCCTGCATTCAGGGAGCATTGCTGCAAGACTTTTGGCAAATTACATTTATAGATACATCTTGAGGATTACCAAACTGTTTCCTAACTTACATCGCACGACTAAAAAACAGTGCGCAGCACTTTTAATCTCTTACTGCACAATTTCAAGATATTCGCTGGGTTATGCAATAATTTCTATTCGCATGGTCACAAATGTAAGCCTCAGTCCTTTTCTGTCTCCCATCCTTGCCAGATCACATGTTGGCGAACAAGCAGCTGCGGAAACCTGGAGGTGACAGGGAGGAAGAGCCAGCGGCGCTGTCCAGCCCGTCACTTTGCAGGTTTCTCCCCCAGTTCGCTCATACACGGGGTACTTCGTCTGGCCCTGTGCCTATAGATTTCATTGATTTATAGATGCTTCTCCAGTTCATTCTCCCACGGGGTTCCCCGCCTGATACTACCGAAAATCGCCAGGAGCCCAGTGACGGCGGCGCGGTCGTTCTCCGCCCAGGCCCCGCGGGGCTGCAACGGCCGAGGTCCCACCCGAAGCACCGGCTGGGCCTGGCCTCGCGGTCCTCGCCCGCCCACGGGGTCCTGGGACGACTTCTGGGCACCGGAACCTAAGGGGCTAAGTGGGGTCCTCAACGGGCTCCTCTATCCTCGAGTCCCCTCGCGCCTTGGCTCCCCAGACTCCCGCCCGACCCTCGGCCTAACCAGCTCTGGCCCCATAGGCCGAGGGCGCGGGTACTCTGGCCACCCAGCTCCGGGACAGCCGTCGCCCTAAGCCCTTGGATCGCTCCGCTGCTCACCGGCTTCCGCCTGCGGGGCGTCCTGCAGGAGGGGTGTACTGTCTGAGACCTTGTCGCCTTCGCTGGCGGACAGGCCTGGAACCGGAGACCTCATGACGCCTCCGGGGAGCCGGTGTGCGATCTACCGGCTCAGGGGAGCGCTGCGGCCCGACAGAGAAGCCGGGGAGCAGCCCCCAGCCTGGCAACGCCCCTCAGCCACGTCCTGTCACCACTGTCCCACCCAGCGGCGGCCGCGCTGACTCCGCCCCCGCCGCCATCTTAGCTGTGGGCAGTTCTGGAATGGGAGAGCGGAATTCTGGGAGCTCTGGCTTGGCGGGGCGTGGTCCGCGTTTCAGTGTGCGGCGCGCGGGTTCCGACGAACAATGCTCGGGTCTCCTGCGCTCCGCTGTGCATCCGCCGGGCCACCCTGGCGGGACAGGGAGTGGGAGCCTGGAGACCAACCAAGGGAATTGAGCATGATTAAGAAGAGGGTTTGGATCGAACCTAGGAAGTGGGTGGTGTATATTCGACGCTTATTTATTGTCAATTGCCATGACTGTTAGCAATCCTCGTACTATCTACCTGTGACCGCATATTGTCCCTAAAATAGTTTTGGGAAGGAGAAACAGTAAGTGGAAACATATTGCTGAGGCCCATGAAGTTGCCGATAGATTTTGTAGGTCAAAATAACCCAACATCGGCAGTTTCATGTGATTCAACCTGTAGAATCTTTTGATGTATATGTGTATTATGCCTCCCCAGGTCTGATGTTTCAAACAGCTTCTCCTGGTGTTTGCTGACTCTGAGAAAGAGAAAAAGGAACTAGGAAAAAGGACTGGCTTGCAATTGGGGGTTGTGCTGGGTAGGAGGGGGGGCGGGATGGGGCAGATCTGGGGCCCCCTGGCCAAAGGCTTCAATTCATCAGTTATTGTGGGTTGTGAAGATATGGATGTAAAGGAAAAAATATGTGGTAGACGTCCTTGGGGAGTTCATTGTAGCCGAGAAAGACTCACAAGCCAGTAATTTTTTTTTTATATGAATTTTTATTTATTTTTTTGTTACAGATATTTTAACTTTTTACCCCATTGGCACCCCCCCCCCCCACTCCACCCCACCTCCGCCCCGTCCCCGACAAGCCAGTAATTTAATAAACTGGGTCGGAGGTTTGACGAGGTCCACGTGGAGATCAAAAGGGAGGGTCACCCTTGCCCCACAAGGAGGGCTGGGATTTGTGAAGGTATTCCTAACCTCCAGATCAGTAAATGCTAGGGAAGTGATCAGGTTGAAACAAGAAATCAAGCCTTGTTTCTGAGTTACATGACGTAGTAATTGGATGTCCACAAAATCTTTAAGCATGCAGACTGGTGAAGCCACTATGGAAAACAGTATGGTGTTACCTCAAAAAATTAAAAATTGAACATTTATTTGACCCAGTGATCCCACTTCTAGAAATATACCCTAAAAAGCCTGAAACACCAATCAGAAAGAATATATGTACCCCCATGTTCATAGCAGCACTATTTACAATAGCTAAGATCTGGAAACAGCTCAAGTGTCCATCAGTAGATGAATGGATAAAAAAGCAGTGGTACCTATACACAATGGAGTACTATGCAGCTGTAAGAAATAAAGATCTCTTATCCTTTGAGACAACATGGAGGGACCTGGAAAATATTATCATAAGTGAAACAAGCCAAGCAGAAAAAGACAAATACTACATGATCTCACTTATATATGGAATATAATGAACATTTACAGTCTGAGGAATACGGTAGACCCAGAGATGTGGAGGAAGGGTGCAGACTGACAACCCTCAGAAGAGGGGGTGGTGGGAGTGGGAAGGGATAAACCACAGAGCTTATATGCATGTATGCATAACCAATGGACATGGACAACAAAGCCGGGGACACGGTGGGGATGGGGAGGAGGGTGCCAATGGGGTAAAAAAGGTCAAACATCTGTAACAAAAAATAAATAAATAAATAAATACTCTCTGAGGAAGGGATTCCAGCTTTTTAGGATCCTTGTGGAGCAATGCTGCTCAACTTAAATATGCAAGAAATCACCTGGTAGAACCTTTTAAAATGCAGATTCAGATGTATCAGGTCTGATGAGGCAGTAAATGGTATGTGTCAACTTGGAGGGTGTTTTTGGGTTTAAATCAGTGAGTTCTGGGTAAAGCAGATTGCTTTCCTTAATTTGGGTAGACTTTATTCAAACAAAGGCCTGAGTGGAACAAAAAGGCCAATTCCCTGAGCAAGGGGGCAGTTTCTAGCAGACTGCTTTCAGACATCATTTACACCAGGGGCTCTCCGAGACCTCCAGACTGTTGGACCACATTGTAGATTTGGATTTGCCAGACTTCATAATTGCATGAGCCAGTTCCTTATAATAATTATTTTCACACACCTATATCCAATTGGTTCTGTTTCTTTGGAAACTGACTGGAATATCTGGGATGGGCCTGAGGTTCTGTATTACTAAGAAGTTCCTAAGTGACCACACTTTGAATAGGTTATAGAGGACATGGACCAGGGAATAAAGATTCCAAGAGATTTGAAAGATTTCAAACCAGAGAAGATCCTTTATAAAAAACACTTTTTATTTTAGAAGTTTTAGGTTTACCGAAACGTTGTAGAGATAGAATAGAGTGTTCTCTATACCCTTTGCCTAGTCTGACCTGTTAAGGTTTTACATTAGCATTGGTCACAACTAATTAGCATATCTTGATAGATTATATTAACTGAAGTTCATACTTTATTTAAATTTCTTTAGTTTTTCCTTCTTTTTTCTGTCCTAGGATTCCATCTAGGATATTATATTACATCTAGCATTTGTGTCTTCTCAGGATCCTCTGTGATAATTTCTGACTTTTCCTATTTTGTTGACCTTGACTATTTTGTACAGTACTGGTAGGTCTTATAAAAAGTCTCTCAATTTGGGTTTGTTTGATGTCTTTCATAAAATTAGTCTGGGTTATGCGTTTTGGGGAAGAAGACTGCAGAGGTGGTGTCATTCTCATTATACAATTACAAGGGAATGTGCAGTTCATATAACTTATCACTGATGATTATCACTGATAATGTTAAACTTCATCATATGCCTGAGATAGTGTTTGTCAAGTTTTCCCCCCTGAAAAGTTACTCTGTTCTTCCCCCCCTTTCCATACTTTTCTCTTTGGAAGGAAATGAGTATGTGCAGCCTCTACTTAAGGGGGAGGGAGTTATGCTCTACCTCTTTGAGGGGCAGAATTCTTTTGTATGGGAGCTTTGTCTATTCTCCCCCATGTATTTATTTATTCAGTCATTTGTTAATATTGGTATGACTCATGGTTATTTATTTTATACTTTGGGTTATAATCCAACAACTGTGTTATTTTCTTGCTCAAATTGTTCTAGATTTGGTGATTGGGAGCTCTTTCGGTTGACTTCCATGTCCCTTTTGCATGCCTTTATAGTGTTTTTTGAGCACTGCCTTATTATATGGTATATTAAGATGTTCCATGTTCATCCTATATAATCGCTACTCCTGCCATTTCTTCAAGTTGAATGATATTAGAAATCAAGATGGGCACTTGATGTGCTTCTTGCTATTGCATTGTTATTTATTTTTCCCCTTCACAATAACTTCTTTTTTAAAAATTAATTAATTAATTTATTTTTGTTACAGATTCCCCCCCCCCACTGATTCCTCCCTCCCCCTCCCTCCCCTCCCTGTCCCCAGCTTTGTTTTCCATGTCCATTGTTCATGCATACATGCATATAAGTTCTGTGGTTTATCTCTCTCCCACCACCCCCTCTTCTGGGGATTGTCAGTCTGTACCCCATTTCCACGTCTCTGGGACTACCCCATTCCTCAGACTGTTATGTTCATTATATTCCACAAATAAGTGAGATCATATGATACTTGTCTTTCTCTGTTTGGCTTGTTTTGCTTAGGATAATACTTTCCAGGTCCCTCCCTGTCATCTCAAAGGATCACAATAACTTCTTTATTGAGTTGGCATTGAAAATCAACCTCAATAGCTACTGTGTTGTTATTGATTTTAGGCCCAGAGATGGTATTTTCTTTTTTGTTTTATTTTATAATCTTCCCAAGAGGATTTTTAAAAAAGGTTTAAGATGATACCATTTTCTTCCTTATATCTGGTGTTTACTTCCTGACCACTCACTACTGTAGAAGATTGTTGTTGATATTATTTGTTTTTTGGTAGGCAATTCTTTCCTTTACCGATATTCTGAACCAGTGCTATTGAATAGACATATAATGCAAGCCACATATATCATTTTAAATTTTCTAGTAGCCACATCAAAAACTTAAAAAAAAAAAAAGACTCCAATGGTGAAATGGATTTTAAAATATACATTATTTAACCCAATATATCAAATATTTTATTAATTTAACACCTAATCAATATAAAACTCTTCATGAGATAGGTTACATTCTTTTTTCTGTATTAAATCTTTGAAACCTGGTGTGTATTTTATATTTACAGCACATCTTCATTAGGAACAGCCACATTTCAAGTGTTCTTGGGCTACCATATTTGACAGCACACTTACCTAAGACAGTTTACTAGTGTATGAGTCATTTCCTGAGAACAGTAACCTTGACTTACTGTACTTATCTTCCATTCTCAGCTCTAAGCAGAGGAAACAGCTTAAGAAATATTTATGGAGCCTTATATTATATGTGAGGTCCTGTCCTGGTTGCTTTGGGAATATACAAGAAGTATAAACATGGCTCTACCTTCAAGGAGTTTATAAGGAATATGTACCTCTAAGGAAATATTTCTTAATTACTGTCCAAGGGAAGTATAAATATTTCTCTGACAATTATGAAATTAGAGGACATACAGAAATGTTTTTTATTTATGTTTTCTAGAGAGCAAGTGATATATGATTAATGTATTCCAGAGGAAGAGCAATACTATTTTTAGGAAGGAATTTCAAAAATGGATAGTCTAGTCATACTTTCCCATATCCAATTTCTTTTAGGCAGCTGTACTGTCAGATGTTCTCAGTGATCAAAATATGAACAAAATAAGATAGGTAAATGTGCCGTTTTCTGTTATGCTTATATGTACTCAATGTTTGCATAGTCAAATTTAAGTTTCCTCAATTTGCTTCTTAAAACTTTTTAGTACAATTTTGTTTAGTTTTGAAATCATTTCAATGA